AATGAAAAGGTAGTTCGGGATGAGATCTGAGAGGCAGGTAGGGGCCAGATCATAGCAGGCCTGGGAAAGAACATGGATTTCACCCTAAGGACAGAGGGAGCATTTGGTGTATTTTCACTAGTCAAGGGATATGATCTCACAGGTAACAAACCACTATGGTATCCAGGTGAAAGATGCACACGGTGAGAGGTGGCTGGGGTCAGAATATAGTTAGGAGGTGGAGCTGATAGGATGTGCACAATGTTTTGAATATGGACGAGGGTGTGGGGGGATAGGTGGAGAAACCCTTTCTGGCTGAGCCCAGATGTGCGTGACCTCAGGGTCTTCCTCAACAGAGTACCCCAGATGTGGAGTGTATAGGACCTTCCTTCCCCACATCCAGCCCAGTCCTTAGTTTATAGATGGGGAGAGTGAAGAAAGGGACTTAGAGTTCTCCTTGTCCCCAGAGAGGGGCTGTGAATTCTCCCAATTCCTGCTGACATTCACTGGCTGAGCTGGGACTCGAATGTGGGCTTCCTGGCCCCTGGTCCAGGCCTCTTGCTACCCCACACTGCTGCATCTCCCCCCCAAGACGGAGGAGGGAGGAACCACTGTGGGAGAATGACCAGGCGTGGCAATGTGGTGAGGTCACTGGGAGAAGCGTCTAAAGGCAGTGGAGTCTGGAGAGGCCCGGGCCAAGGCCCTGACTGGAGACAGGGCACTGCCCTGCGAGCAGTAAGAGGTGGGTGGAACATCATGGAAGGGTCCGGGGGCAAGCTGCCAAGGCGTCACTGCGCGAGAAGAATGCACCAAAGCAGCACTTTCAGGCTGGCAGGCTTGAGGAGGACCTCTTGGAGCAGAGCCTGTGGTGGGCCATCGACCCTCTGGGGTCTTGGGAGAAGCACGAGTAGCCGCTAAGAATAGGAAGACTCCGAGAACCTTCCTGCAGGGGCATCCTAGAGCCACGGCCGTGGGTGAAGACAGAGGGTGGGCCAGCCCCCCTGGGTTTGCCCACCTCTACCTTGAAGGGGAAGGGGAAGGCAAGGAAAGAAGTAGCTGGAGACCCAGCCTGAGGTGCTAGAAGTCCAAGTCAGGGGGCCTGGATCCCACTCCCTGCCGGCTCCACAGAACCTTGTCATCATCTTCCTCTGCCTCAGGGCCGCTGCCGGGCTAAGTTGTTTTGTGCATGACCTATCTGTATTATCCCTGTTTTACAAATGAGACTCAGAGAGTTTAAGGAACTTTCCTAGGGTCACACAGCTAAAAAGTGGCAAAGTCAACATTGGAAGCCAATTTCTCAACCACAGTGGGCTCCTGTCTTGGCTCCGTTTGTGACTCTGAGCGAGGTTCCCTGGGTCTCAGTCTTCACTGTAAAATGATGGAGCTGGCATAAATGAGCCCCTCAGGCCCCTGTGGCTCTTGATGGGGAGACCCAAATTGCTCCTCCAGGACTGGGGCTCAGGAGCCTGAAGGAGGGGCCATGGCCTTATTTTGGAACTGTGTTCTTTACCAGCCTGGGAGAAGTGGTTAGGGGCACAGGCTCTGCCAGGCCATTCCCTCTCCACTTCCTCTGCTGAGGGTTGGATGAGTCAGTGCCGTGATGTGTCTTGTAGAGGGCCCGGCACACAGTAGGTGCTCAATAAATGTAGCTCTTGATGTTTTGGCAGAAAGACGGAAGGCTGTCTCTTCATGGACGATTCATTCACTCATTCAGCAAATATTACCACCTCCTATGTGCCAGACGCTGTTCTTGACACTGGTGACCAGTGGTGTCCCCAAAATAGCTGCCCTCGTGCAGCTTATAATCTAGTAGGGGGCTCAGACACACACACACACACACACACACACACACACACAATTCAAATAAGTACCATGTAGAATATGTTATATAGAGATATATGCCAAGAAAAAATGAAGCAGCAGGGGGTGGGGGGTGGGGAGGGGAGGCAGTGCCCTAGTGGGGTTGGATCTTAAATCAGGAAGACCAGAAGGCGTCCCTGTGAAGGGGATGAGAACCAAGGCCTCGGGGATGTGAGGGAATGAGCCATGCAGATATCTGAGGGAAAAGCAACCCAGGCAGCAGGAACCGCCAGGGCTAAGGCCTGCTGTAGGGCCATTTGAAGCACCATCCTGATGTTTACTAAATGCAGGGTGGGGTGCCCACAGGCAAGACTCAGACTGCAGATCCCTTTGGGAGGACCAAAAGCTTCCTCCCCATCTCTGATTTCTTCTGCAATATCATCATATCTTCGAGATCCCCAGCCCAGGGCTCTAGGGGCTGGCTGGGGCGGGGGTGGGGGGGTGGCATGTTGTGTGCCAAGGAAACGAATCCGAAGTGTCAGATTGGAAGCATGCCGAGGAGTCTCTCCTCCTGAGCCAGTGCAGAGCAGCTCAACTCCAGGGTGGGACCCATGTGAGCTGGGACTCCACTAACACCTATTGTCCCGGGCTGATTGCATCTTCTGGGTGAGTGAGTGGGTGTGCAGGGAGCGGAACTGGGATGAACTCAAGCTGGCCACACCCTTGGGCCTTAAAGTTGGGAGTTAAGTCCCAGGAGGAATCATTGAGAACCTAGAATGAAGAGAGAAGTCAGGCCCAGAGGCTGCTAGAACTCCGAAAGATTTCTTTCCCTTTGGAATCACCTCCAGTCCTCTGCTGGGTTTCGTGTCATCTCAGTTTCTCCTTAGAACTGTGAAGCTTTTTAGAAGTACCCGGGAGCTGGTCTTCTAGGGGAGTAGGAAAGAGAACTTGGGCCCATGACACAGGTAATCAGCAGCAGGGTGTGGGGAGCATTCCTCCAAGGGAGACAGCGGTTAGGGACAGCAGGAGAGAGCCTGGGAGCAGGCCTTAGGGGACTAGTAGGTCTTAAGACTGGGTGGCCCAGGGAACTGACCAGGATCCTTCAGTGGGGAGTGGGGAGGTGACAGGATTGGGCAGGGAAGCTGGGACTTTGTGGTGGTTAATGTGTGTCCTTAGGCAAGCACTGTTAAGAGCCTCAGATGCCCTCTCTGTAAACCAGGGAAAGAATAGAGTAGGATTTAATCTGTTGTTGTTTCAGAGGTTAACCACCTCCTCAGGGCCAGGTGCTTAGTAGATGCCAGAGCTGAGCGGTGCTAATCCCTTCCTGGAGAGGGAGGCCATTATTGGAGGGTGCCGTGGTGAGGATGGAGGACACAGGGATACATTCCACGCCTGCTGAGTAGGCCTAGGCCTGGGCACCTTGTTTCACTTTAGGAGAGCATGCAGCCACACAGAGTGCTAGCATCCCTGGATGCTGGAAGCAGAGCCTCGGGATTCAGGGTTGGGGAGATTGGGATGAAAAGAGATGACAAAGGGCAGGGCATTGGTGGTGCCTGGCTTCTAGGACAGCGTCATACTTGGGGACCTCCAGGGGATGTAGGAAGTCATAAAAATGGGTACAACAAGCTCACGTGAGGAACGAGGTTGGTGGCTGCTGCCCAGGCCAATGGCCAACTGAGTGTGGCCAGATCCTGGTGTGAGTTTGGACCAGGGTTGCCCGTTCTCCCAGGGCTTCAAGAGAAGTAGGGAATATGGACCTATAATATGAAATTGGCCCATTTAAAACATTGGTTATCAATTAGCAAAGCAATATAAGTAACAAAAAAACACCATGCCGGTCAAGCGAAGCCCACCATCTTGGCTGGTGACCCCCTGCTCTGGCAAAGGGGGCACCGAGGCCAGGTCCTGGCCCAGGCCAGCTATCTATCTTGCTGTGCTGTGTGGTCCTGGGCAAACCCCTGCCCTCTCTGGGCCCCAGTTTCCTAGTCTGGGAGAGAGGAGGAGCCTGATCTGCAGGGTCCCACCAGTTTGGACAGTGTGTGACTAAGTCCCTCAGGCTCGAGGGAGGATGTGGTTATTATGGAAGTGACTCTTCCCAGGAACCATGCTTCCGGGATTGGATGCAGTGCACTCTGGTATTTTGTGGGCCCACCATCACAACTGTGTGTGAATGGATGTGTGTCATAATTTGGAGCTTTGCATGGCACAGTGTCAGTATCATCGTTTTAATAACTTTGCCCTGAAACCTTTCCTTGGCTACCCTGGAGGCTGGTGAGAAGCCTTAATTAATTCTCCCAGTGACCTGGGGAGCCAGGGGTCTTCTTCCTGATTTGTAGATATGGAAAGCCAAGCCCAGAGTTGGGAGGTGCCTTAGCTGACCCTGCACCACTGGGGACCCTGACTCGTGTTAGTTCCCCGGCAGTGTGCAGGGTTCTTCATTAAACCAGTGAGACCAGAATTGGGGGTTCGTGCCCATCACAGTCTGCACTGCTGTAAGAGCTGGGAGGGTCCTTTCTATGGGGTGAGGGGTGTGGGGGGTGGTGAGGGTAGCTACCTCCCGGGTCTTTGGTCAATGGCATTCTCTATCTCCTGCTGTCCTGTCAAATCACTGACCCCTGAATCAACCTGGCCTGTGTTCTCTGAAGGACTCAGAGTCCCCAACGCTCCATTCTTTTTTTTTGCAGCGGCCTTCGCAGGGGGCCACTGCTTTGGTTTGAGAGGAGAGAGAACCCGGGGAAGAGGAGGCTTTGGATCTAGAAAACCCCAGCTTTTTGCGCGCCCGCCTCCTCCCCCACCCCCACCCAGCTTTTTCCACCTGTGCCCCAGACTGGATCAGGGTGTCGGCTGTGTGTGTTCCTCGGCCCCACACGTAAGACCGCGTTCCTGCAACGCTCTCCTCGCCAGGCGGGGGGGGGGGGGGTGTTCTTGACGGGCAGAGCCCCACCCCCCCCCCCGCCCAGCGTCCCCGGGAGCCGAGGGCGCGGGCCCTTTAAATCCTCCGGGGCGGCGGCGGCGGGCCGGGGATGACATCAGCGGTCGGGCCCGGGGCTCAATGGGAGCCGGCGGGTGCGCGCCGGGCGGGAGCGCGCGAGCCGGCGGCGGGGGCGGGCGGACAGGAGGGCCCGGAGGAGGGAGGCGGCGGCGGCGGCGGCGGCGACGGCGACGAGAACCCAGAGCCAGAGCCCGGCCGGGGCCGAGCGGAGCGGAGCGCGGCGGCGGCGGCGGCGGCGGCAGCAGCGGCGGCTGGGCCGGGAGAGGCTGGCGCGCCGGGCGGCTCCGCGAATCCTCCGGCATCCGCCCCGGCGGGTCGCCCCCGCCCGCGGCAGCCCCCCGAGCAGCGGCCCGGCACCGGCGCCTTCCCGGCGGGGTAAATATTGGGGGACCGCGGGCCCGCGGAGGGGCCCAAACCCGGGGGGAAACGGGGCTCCCTCCGCCTCTTTGTTTTTGCGCGAGAGGGAGGGGAGGGCGGACACACGCGCGTTCGCACTCGGGTACGGGGCGGGGGGGGGCAGCCCGGGCGCCGCCCGCTCGGCCCGGCGAGGACAAAGGCGCGGCTGGGGACGAGGAGGAGGAGGGTGACTATTATTTTGCAGGCTTCACCCGGGGAGGCCCCCCCCCCCAGTCCGGCCCGCCTCCCCCTCCCCCAGCTGGACCCTTCAAGGCCCCAGCCGGCGGAGAGGCCACCCCGGGGCTGTAACTGGGGGACCCTACGGGAGGGGGGTCCGGGACTGGGGCGGACCGGGGCGCTGGGGGCACCCGAGACTGTTGATACTGTTGATTCGGGCTTCTCGGCCAAACCCTGGGCTTCTGTGTGTTTCGCCGGACAATCAGCAGCGCCTCCCCCCTTCTCTCCTGGCTCGGAGCTCGGGACCTGGGGGTCAGCGAGGCTGCTCCCGCATGTTGGATGGGGGCGCTTCGGGGCGCGTGGGGGCCCCCGAGGTGATGGGGTGTGTGGTCACCCAGCCACCGATTCTGTTTTCCTTTGTGGAGAGAAAGAAAGGGGTGGGGGTTATTTATCAGATCGGATTCTACCGTTTCTGCCCGTGAGAAATCCATGTTTTGCAAGTCTCTGTGGAACATGAAACTATGTTTGTGTCCGGGTTATCTCTAGAGAGAGGATTTCCGAGCTCCTCTTCACGCCCAGACTCAAAGTGGGGTGAGCCCCCTCCCCAACTTTGCCCTTAGTTCTCTTGCATATGTTCTTCCTGGCACAACCTTTCTCAGGGAGAAAGATTTGGGGAGAAGGGACAGGGATCCCGGGTGTCAGAAGTTGCGCCCAGCGAATGCCTGGACTTGGGGCTCCTTTGCCTTCCTGTCTAGAATGTCCCTCCAATTTTTATTTTAATGGTCCAGTGACCAGGGCCCTGGCTGGGGTGAGGGGGTGTCAGAGAGTAAGAAACCTGCCCATGTGCTCTGCTGCTTGGTAGTTTGTGTAATTTTTTTAACCAGCTGAAACTCCGGATTTGCGTCTGCCTCTCTTTTTTTTTTTTTTTTTTTTTACTTCGTTTATTCCACCCCCCAACCCCCCATGGGAGAAGCGGCAAAGAACTGGCAAGCTTCTCCTTTTCCTGACTCAATCCTTTCTCCTCTCCTCTGGGAGGCTTTTTAGGGGACAGTGCTGGGACAGTGTAGGCTCTCCCTGGGGGCCTGGCCCCCTGGGTCTGGGTGGCTAGCGCCCAGCAGTGGTTTCCGGCAGGGCTGGTTTGTTTGCACCCTCTCTTCTCCCCTTCTCTGCCCATAGCCCAGTGAGTGGGGAGGGGCTGGGGGGTCATGTGCAGTGTATTTATGTAAGGCACCCAGACGGAGGGCGCGGGTATTTATGTAACCCGGCGTGGGTATTTATGTAATATAGGATGCGGGTACATTTATGTTCCTTTCCTAACCTGCGGCTTTCCCGGCTGCCATGTGTGGTCTTTGAATTGGCGTTGGCGGAAAACAGAATGGGGGGGCAGTGTTTGTGTGTGTACACACCCTCGACACCCCCCTTTCTCCCCCCTGCCCCCCCCACCATGGGGCTCGTGGTGTGTGTCTGCTTTTCTTTTTTTCCTTTGGAGTGTACACCCAGGTCGCTGTGTATGTGAAATGTGTGGCTTGTGAGTTTTCTGCAAATGTGGAGTGTGTTCCGCTCGCAGCCACGGCACCTTAGCTGGGACCGGCCAGGCGTGTGGGCAGAGGCCCTTGGTTGAGAGCCCAGAGTTTGGTTGGCATGGGGTGGAGGCTACTTCCTTGTGGTCCTCAGTGAAGGGCTAGTGGTGGCTCCGCTGGGAGTTAGCCGCTGGGGCTGGATGTCTCTCCTGGGCAGGAGCTGTTGGCTTCTTGCCCCTGCGGGAGGGGGGGCCGAGAGCTCCAGCCCCGTCATCTGCGAACTAAATCTCTCCCATCTCCCCTCCCAGGTGGGTCTGGCTTTGGGGATAGCACTGGGCATAGGGAAGGGGCCCGGCTGCTATGCCTAGTACAGCTGCTTTTCCATCTTCCTGCTTTGCTTCCCAGCCCTGGCAGGAAATAAGTCCTGTGTGTGTCAGGTGGGGGCAGCGGGGAACCCTGTCTGGGTCCCAGGGGAGGAGACTGCCACCAGTTTGCTGCTGGGGAGTGGGGGGCAGGTGATGGGCCTCTCTAGGCCTGAGTTCCTTGTCTGCCGAGGAAGACCCCCTCTTCTAGACACTCTGAGATCTTAGGGATCCCCCATCCTTCTCCCTGTTCCATAGTCCACCGTCCCCTATCCCCTAACTGTAGAAACCATCTCCTGGCCTTGGAGTTTCCCTTTCTGCTGGCCAGGACCTCAGAGGGCAGAAGGTCTCTAGCAGGGTGGCCCCTGATGTGGCATGAGCTTGGGCACCCAGGATGGGACACGGGAAGGAGGAGAGTGGCTCCAATCAGCATCCCTCCCTCAGACCTCTCCCACCCCAGAGCCTGGTGGCTAAAAACCTGGCTTTGGTCCCCTCAGTTGCTCTATGGGGCCCTCTAGGGAGACCCTCCTTCTAGTCTTGAAGGAAGCCAGCCCCAAACTGGCCATTCAAAGAATGTTGTGCAGAGAGGCCTGTGTGAGGTGCTTGGTGTCGTGAGGTCGAGAGGGGGAGACAACTGGATGTTCTGAGGGCCCCCTTTCCTGCCTGCCCTCTGAGTTGGAGAGGAGGCCTCTCTCCTGCAGGGCACACTGCAAGCTAGCAACTTCTGGCCTCTGAAAAGACTGGGCCAGGCGGTGGAGGCCTGGTGTCCAATTCTTGTTACCAGAAGCATGGGGGCTTGGGGGTGGGGGCAGGGGACCCTATCATTTCTGAGTCCTAAAGGGGCTGAGGAACTCCTTTGGGACCCTCCATTCTACATGTCCTGCCATCCCTGGAGGTTAGAACTTGCTGGTGGTTGCCATGGTAGCACCCCCAGAATGATCAGCTCCTGATTTCCCCCCCTCCCCATCACTCCCTTTGTCTTTGATTTTCCTTTTAGGATCTTGGCCCATTGTGACTGGCCTGCCCCTGAGAGGCTCCTATTGGAGGGTCCCCAAACGAGTGTCCCCCAAGGAGATGCTTGCTTGGCTCTTTCCTCTGGGGCTTTATCTCCAATTCCGCCTTCTGCCTGGTCACCCTGACACGAGGCCTCAGCCTGCCTCAGCTCTTCCTCAGCTGTGGAGGCCATCGGCCCACCTGACACCTGGGTGCCCTCAGGCAAAGCCCAGCCAGCTCTCCTCTTGTACAATGGGAGGGAGAATGTCCGTCTCCCAAGTTCCTTGTGTCTTTCCCTGGCCTTTGGCAGGGGGGGTGTGGTGGGCTGCAGCCGGTGAGGCTCCCTTTCCAGCTCCCCACCTCCCTGACCCCGGTGTCTCTGCTTCCCTCAGCAGTGAGAGTGAGTCATGGAGCTGCGCGTGGGAAACAAGTACCGCCTGGGACGGAAGATCGGGAGTGGGTCTTTTGGAGACATCTACCTGGGTAAGTGTCCCTGACTCCAGCGTGGTCGTTCTGGGGCCCCTGGGACGGCACTGGGAACAAGTAGGAGGAAATATGCCAGGACTTCAGGCTCTCCGGCCAGAACTTGGCTCCGGGCCTCCAGTGGCACATTTTTGGTCATTTTGTCCCCAGGGCCATGCCAGGTGGGGAGAGAAGCAGCAGGTTGGGGGTGAGGCAGGCCAGGGAGTGGGGTCACACAGTCAGGGTGGGGCGGAGTTCCCACTTGCTGCAGGCTGGACAGAGGAGGGTATTTTTAGCTCTGGTTTCCAGCTGCAGATGACCGGGGTCTCCAGCTGGGCGTGGGAAGGCCCAGGCTGTGGTAGCACCCCGGTTTCTTGCCTCCTGGGGGAAGGATGCTGGTAGATGGAAGAGGCCTGGGCTACCACTCGCTCCCAGCTGGGCCCCCTCCTTCTGCTCTGGCCCCTGGAATTCAGCCCAGGCAGGCTTCGGAATGACAGTGACGTAGGCTTTCCCAGTAACCTCTGGGTAGGGGTGGCGGTAGGGGTCTGGTCGGAGTTTTCAGGATCGTGCTCTCCGGACGTGCTTCCTGTTGAAAGTCTAAATTTACTCTCATGTTGTCATTTTAAACAAATCGCTGACATCTCAGCCCCGTTTCTGTTTCTCGACCTGGCAAAAAAGAGGCTTCTGCCTTCAAATGCCGCCTTCTTGGCTGCCCGAGGGCGTGTGCGGTCAGGGGTCACGGCCCTTCCCTTGCTATTGTTGGTGTGGAGGGGAGATCCTGTGTCGGTAATCACGAATGGGAGTTGGTAGAGCTGGGTGTCCAGCCCCTGGGGTTTATCCTCATTCCTGTCTCTTGGCCTCTCTTTCTCTCCTTGGAAAAGCAAAGTAAATAATTTCTGTCCTGGGCAGAGAAAAACAACAAGGCCGTGTGCTGTGCTCATTGGTTCTGAATTTGGGAGGCGGGGGACAGTCTCTTACCCAGTGGTCTGGGTCTCTGCCCTCTTGGGGTATGAACTCTGCTTCTCTGTGAGCTACCCCCTTCCCCATCAGAGGGGACAGGGAGGGGACATTGTCTGAGCACGTAGTTGGTGCTGGGCAGGGTCCTCTTGGAATGTGGTTGAATGTGGTCGCCGCGCACAGCAGTCGGTAGAGATGGAGGCCTCCTGTTCTTCACACATCAAGAAGCAGGTGCAGTATGGTCAGGTTGGTCGCCCAGTGTTTCTCTTGAACACTAGAAGAGGCAGCCTTTATACCCACGTGAGTGAGAGAGTGTGACAGAACACAGGAGGGAGACCTCGGACAGACTTGGGTTCCAGACCTGGCTCTGTGCAGCTGTGGGACAGTCATGCGGCTGCTCTGTGCCTCAGTGTCCCCATAGGGAAAGTGTGTGATGATGAGGCCTGGCTGACCAAGGGCAAAAAGGCATGGAGCAGTAGCTTTTGGCACAGATGCACATCTGCTCCTAGGAAACATCCAATCCAGGGCCTTCTTTGTGCAGAAGGGAACAGTGGCCCTGAGAGGGGAGGAGCAGGCCAAGGTCATTGGGAAAGCTAGTGACCCTGGTCCATGTGGGGTCCTCCCTGGGGGCAGGACTTCCCGTTTATCTAGTTCATTTAAAAAAAAAAACCCGGTCTAGCTTTACTTCTCTTTGTACAGGCTCTGGAGTAAATTCTACCAGGGTTTGGGTGCTGGCTTTTCTTCCATTAGCTGTATGCCCTTGGATGGGTGATGACCTCTGCCGGTCTTGGCTTCCCCATCAGTCAAATGGGGTCATGAGGCCTACAAGGTGGTAAGCAGTAGTGAGATCCCAGTGTGCACAGCACCTGTGCATGCTCGGCCCAGCTGTGGTGCTTTTATGTTGTGTCCTCTGCCAACCCTCAGTCTTTTTTGGGATTTGCTACTGTCAGAGGATTTGGGTCCTCTTGGGCCCGAGTAGGGGTGGGGAGCCAGTTCTGCCCTGAGAGCAATTCCCCTGTCCGCCTCCGCTGGGTGCTCAGGCCCAGGGGGCCCTGGCATGACACTGTGTCCTGCCACCTCCTTTCTGGGCTCCTGCCTTGCTGCTGTGGGGACAGTGGTGATTGGAGGGCCTCCCCGGCTGGCCTCGCTGGCTCCCTTTGTTCAAAGCTCTGGCCACATTCTTGTCACTGGTGCCAGTGCCAGGGCCTGACTCCAGATGGCCTCTGCAGGTGGGGCTGGGCGCGGCCTCCAGGCCCTACTTTCCAGGATCAGCCGAAGGCGAGCACTCTGTGGACGTGGCTTCAAGGCCCACAGCTTCTGCTGAGGGTCTCGGGTCAGCTGCACAGGGTCCAGAAGCGGCCGAGACCATGTCCCCTCTACCACCGCTGGCTGTGCGTCCTGAAGAGCTCCCTATGCTATACTCTCAGTCTCTGTTCCTCAGTTCTAAATGGCGGGGGATCAGTGCTCCCCAACAGGTGGTTTGTTCTGCATCTCCAGTCCAGCCAGGTCTCTGATTATGTGTGTCTGTGTTGGTGTCTGAATGAGCCCCCGTGTGAGGTTGGTCACCCCCTCTACCCACCCAGGACTTCCCCAGGCCCCAGATCCTAGGGCTGGCCAGCTCCAGGCCCTTCTCTGTGTCCAGGTGTGTTTTCCAGACTGGACCGTCCCCCCGCAGGGCCACTGTCCCTGACTGCTGGGTCACCTCTCCTGCCCCGGCATTTTGCACTTAGTCAGAGTTCCCCTTTGTTGCTCCCACAGAGGGTGAGCTGAGCTCATTCCAGGGCAGGGCTGCCTCAGCTGGTCCGGGCCTCAGTGTGTGTCTGTCGACGGAATGAATGAGATGCTAGACAGCTGGAATGGAGAAAAAGCGGGGTCTTTGGAGACTCACATTCAAATCCTAGCTCCGCCCCCAGCAGTCCTGTGACCTTGGGCCAGTTACTTAACCTCTTTGAGCCCCAGCAGTGAGAATTCAGGGAGATCAGAGAGAAGGCCGGTGGCTTCCTGACAACTCCCAGGCAGCCGAGGGGCCTCGCGGTGGGGGGAGCCTGGGTGGGGGGCAGCCCGCTGTGGCCGTTTTCCAGCACTCTGCAGGGACCCGAAGGCTTTGCCTGAGAGCGAGCTCCCTGTCCTGGGGAAGTTAGTGTGGTGTTTGATCTCTTAACCTTTGGTGTTTCACTTTCTCTACGTGTCAACTAGAAATACAAACAGGAGTCCTTGCAGGATGGCGGGGGAATTCAAGGGGATAAAGGGCTCCTCCAGCCTGCCCCTCCGCATCGCGGGGAAGGGTGTTCTCCCCAGCACCTCGCCTCCCTGCATCTGTCTGCTGAATCACAGTGCTAGAGGCCCTAGTTTCAGAGTGTCTAGGTCTCTGCCTTCTCCCTGGCTGGGGTCGCCGTCAGCGTCTGGGTCTCCCTCGCCCCTCACGTCCTCTCCAGTCCTTTCTAATGTGCCAGTGGGTCTGAACAGGGGAAGGGATGGGGGGCGGATTTGTTCCACAGGAGCCATTTGGCAAGGTCTGGGGACATTTTTGATCATTGGAGCTCAGGGAAAAGGGGTACCACTGGCAGCTAGTGGGTAGAGGCCAGGGATGCTACTAACCATCCTGCAGTGCATAGGACAGGCCCCACAACAAAGAATCGCCGGGCCGCAGGAGGCTGAGAATCCCTGTAATAAGGCATCCATACCTGGCCCATGGAGTCTCAGGCTTCTGGCCAAGATCTTAGCTGGGCATTTGAGACCCTTCTGATCTCTCCCTCCCTCACCTCTTCCACAGTCTTCTTCAGCTACCTCAAGCTCTAGCTGCACCAAACCACTCAGAGTTCACTGCACCCCACTCCTTTGGACCCGCTGTGACCTCTGTCTGGCACGGTCCTGCTCAGGCCTCCAGAGCCCGTGCCCTTTCCTCCTGCTGCCCTGCCCACGGTTAGGTCGCCGGGCCCATGTCTGAAGCCCAGGGGCCCGTACTTACCAAACCCAACTTCCGCTGAGAACTTACTATGTGCCAGGCCCTCTCCTAAACCCGTTGACACCTCAGAACAATCTCTCCCACGCCACATCCCCACTGCCCTCCAGAAACGTGTGTGGCCCTCCCCAGTGACGAGTGTCGATGTGCCAGAAGCAGTTTACAGTTTGCAAGTACTTTTTCTCCAGTTGCTCGCTGGCTTTGGTAATCTATTTTCTTATTAATTTTAATTTTATTTTATGGGGTTCAAAAACGAAAACACACAAAACCAAAACCCAAAACACAAAAACATGCCGAGTGAAAGAAGCCAGTCACAAGAGGTCACATATTGTATGATTCCATTTAAAAGAAACATCCAGAATAGACAAATCTGTAGAGACAGTAGATGAGTGGTTGCCTGGAGCTGGGGCTTGGGGGAGATGTGGAGCGAATGCTGAAGGGTCCTGGGCTTTGGAGATAGTGAAAATATTCTAAAATTGATTGTGGTGTAGGTTGCGCAGCCTTGCGAATATGGTAAAAACCACTGAACTGTACACTTTAAAGAAGTAATTGTGGGGACGACTGGGTGGCTCAGTCGTTAAGCGTCTGCCTTCGGCTCAGGTCATGATCCCATGGTCCTGGGATCGAGCCCCACATCGGGCTCCCTGCTCTGCGGGAGGCCTGCTTCTCCCTCTGCCCACTACCCCTGCTTGTGTCCCCTCTCTGGCTGTCTTTCTCTCTGTCACATAAATTAAAAAATCTTAAAAAAAAAAAAAAAAGTAATCGTGTAGTATGTGAATTATATCCCAACAGAGGTGTCGGGAAAAGTGGCAGCCCATAACCTAGAACCCGGTGAAATGTCCCCTCCTGGGCTAGCGGTCATCATAGCCCTGCCTGGCCCTCACTGGTTTCTCATGCTTCTTCCCAGTGTTTTCTTACGTAGATACAACCAAACACAGATCCGTATTATTTCCCCCATCTTTTTATTTTTTTTAAACTGGAATACATACTGTTCTGTACTTCGCTTTTTCACCTCCTGTGTCTTTGAGATCTTTCCACTTCTGCACAGAGAGAGCTTCCTCATTCTTTTTCCATTGTATTCCATGTTATTGATGGGCCATTCTTGATTTAACCAAGCCCCAGAATGATGGACATCTGGGCCATGTCCAAGTTTTGCTGTTGCAAACAGCCTCATCCAGGCCCTTTTTGCACTCACTGGGGTGTTGAGTGCACCCCCGAAGCGGGAGCCAAATTTCTCAGTTCACACCTGGGCCGCTTGAGGCGCGGTGCCCACTGCCCCACAGCCCTGCCCCCCACAGCACAGGCGTCTTCCCGCGGGACTCCCGCCAGTCATAGGTGGGAGTACTCTTTGAGGACCATTTGCGTTTCTCTCACAAGGAGGTTGAGCATCTTTTCATATGAGTGCGCCATTTTTATATTAATGATTTCTTTCTCTTGAAGCATCTATTCAGATCCTTTACCCTGTTTCCTTTGAGCCTTTGGTCTTTTTCCTACTGATGCATAGGAGCTCGTTAACATGTTAGTGCTACCAGCCACTTGCCGCTAATAAGTCATAGGTATATTTCTTAGGACTTTGTTGCTGGCGTTTTTGCCGTCGATTCCCTTTTTGGATGGGATGGAGCCATTTTTTTTCCCCTTTTTTTTAATGGCCTTTCGATTTTAAGTCAGGGATAAAAATCCTTGCCTACCCCAAAGTTGTAAGGCAATTCTCTCTTTTCTTCTCAGATCTCATTGTTGTCTTTTTATTAAGTGTTGAGTAGATAACAAAAGAAGACATACAGCAAATATGCATGCTATTAGGCACCCTCCCCCTTCCCCTCAGAGAGGATGTGCCTGTCACCTTGTAGGCCCCTGCCACCCCATCGTGCCCCCTCCTCTGCTTTCCCCTCTCAGAGGGAACCACCTTCTGACAGTTGAAATTGTTCCCTCGTGTTAAAGAGTTTTATTACATTTGTATCCCTAGACCTAACCCTGTTCAGCATGCGTGTTTTCAACTGTTCCTGTGTTCTCCTGTCTCTTCCTATCTTTCAACAGAGGTGAAATTCACATAACACAACCATTTTCAAAATACACAATTCAGTGGCATTTGGTACATTCCCAGGGTTGTGCAACCACCATTCCTATGTAGTTCCAAAGCATTTTCATCACCCCAAAAGAAAACCCCGTGCCCATTAAGTAGGCACACCTTCTTTCCCCCTCCCCACCCCTGGCAACCACCAGTCTATTTCCGGGTTCTACGGATTTAACCTATTCTGGACATTTCCTATAATGGAATCCTACAGCATTTGTGCCTTGGTGTCTGGCTTGTTCACCTAGCACATTTGTAAGGTTCATCGATGTTGTAGCATGCATTGGTCCTCCGTTCCTTTCTGTGGCTGAATAACATCCTGCTGCGTGGAGAGATGCATTCAGTTTGTCCACACAGCCCGTTGCTGGGCACTGGCTTGTTGTCTTCACCTTGGGTTCTCGTGAATGGGACAGCTCCTTGCTCCCTCGTACTGAGTGTTAAGATGCCGGGAGCCGAGACGCCTGGGTGGCTCAGTCGGTTAAGCCTCTGCCTTCGGCTTGGGTCATGATCCCGGGGTCCTGGGATCAAGTCCTACATCAGGCTCCTTGTTCAGCAGGAGCCCGCTTCTCCCTCTGCCTGATGCTCCCCCTGCTTGTGCACGCACTCTCTCTGACAAATAAATAAAATCTTTAAAAAAAAAAAAAAAAAAAAAGATTCTGGGAGCCGCCTGGAGCTGGTATCTGTTGCTTTGCCCTGCACTGTGGCCTCCTGCTCTCCGACTGCATCGCGACTTAGCCGTTCTGATGTTGGGCATTTGGGTGGTTGGGAGTTGTGAACATTCTTGTTCTCCTGGAGCTCACATGTTTCTGAAGGGCATATACTCGGGAGTGGACTTGCTTGGGCAAGGGTACGTGTGTGTTCAACTCTACTGGGAAAATGCCAACCTGGTTTTCAAAGTGGCTGTGCTGGGGCGCTTGGCTGGCTCAGTCCATGGAGCGTGTGGCTCTTGATCTCAGGGTCGTGGGCTTGAGCCCCAAGTTCAGTGTAGAGATTACTTAACAAGAAAAAAGGCAAAGCGGCTATGCTAACTTATACTCCACCTTTTTCTTTTTATCACACAAACTTTTGCTTCACTTGGGATTTCTCCTGTGTGTGTGGCGTAAACTATGGTGTCTTTTCTCAGATGGCTAGCTAGTTGTTCCAAGGGCACTTATGGCAGAGCCTCATCTTTTCCCCTGACTTGAGATGCAGGCTTTCTCTCATCCTACATTCTCCAGCGCTGGTGTCCTCCTCTGGATCTCGTGCTCTGTGTGTGTGCTAAGGCTCAACTGTTTCAGTTTACCGCCACTGCAGTCACACCTGGCTTCTCTCAGTCTGGCCCCCGGCCTCTAGCTAGCCCACTCAGTATTAGAGCTGGGGAAACTGAGGCAAGGCACAGTTTGGATTTGGGTCTTTCTTGGGACTTCTTTTTTTTTTTTTTTTAAGATTTTATTTATTCATTTGAGAGAAAGAGAGAGAGAGCATGAGAGGGGGGAGGGTCAGAGGGAGAAGCAGACTCCCCGCTGAGCAGGGAGCCCGATGTGGGACTCGATCCCGGGACTCCAGGATCATGACCTGAGCCGAAGGCAGTCGCTTAACCAACTGAGCCACCCAGGCGCCCTTTCTTGGGACTTCTTGAGACAGAGCCTTGCCCCGCCCGCCTCTCTCCTCCTCAGCCTGACATCCCTCTGACCTCACTCCTCTCCAGCTCAGTGGCTCCCATTCCCAGGATAAAATTCCTCTTACGTGATCCGTGAGCCCCCTGCAGTCCCTCCCGTCTCCCTTCACGTCTGGCCTTCTCCGCTGCACCAGCCCGTGGCTCTCTGAGATGTCCGCAGTTCCTTCCTCCCGGCCTTCCCCTCCCACATGCCGCTTACCCCCCTCTCCCCTCCCGCCCAAGCTGGGCCAGGTGTCCGCTCTGTGTCTGCAGTCCCTCCGCTTCCCTTGGAGGCAGTGCTGGGCCCTTTGCCACCTTTCTGGCTTCCCCCAAGGGGCGCTGAACTGCTCAGGGTCGGACAACCAAGTTGGCCCTGACCTGAGCCCACCTGCCTGGCCGAGCGTGACCCGGGTCCCTTGTGCCCCTCCTCCACCCCTGGCAGGTGCCAACATTGCCTCTGGTGAAGAAGTTGCCATCAAGCTTGAGTGTGTGAAAACGAAGCACCCACAGCTGCATATCGAGAGCAAGTTTTACAAGATGATGCAGGGAGGAGGTGAGGGCTGGGCGGGGCCTGGGGGCAGAGCCTGAGGAGCTCGGGCCGGGGTGTGCATGCTGGTGTGCATGTGTGGGCAAGGGTCCACTCTGACACCTGCATCTCTGGACCTCAGTGGGAATCCCATCCATCAAGTGGTGCGGAGCCGAGGGGGACTACAATGTGATGGTCATGGAGCTGCTGGGGCCCAGCCTCGAGGACCTCTTCAACTTCTGCTCCCGCAAGTTCAGCCTCAAGACGGTGCTGCTCCTGGCCGACCAGATGGTGAGTCCCCACCTACCCTCCCCAGCCAGGGACTGTGGGCCCTGCTGGGCTTGCGGCTTCCCTTCCAACCTCTGTTTCCCCACCGGGCACAGGGTACCAGCCCTGTCTCCTGCTTCAGGAGGATGCCACAGCAGAAAGCAGTGACAGGGACATAGGACAGGCTTGGTTCCTGCACCAGGACCAGGGGACCTTGACCATTGGCTGTAGAATGGGGGAGGGGGGTTAAATGCAGATCTCCAGGCCTCCTGGGTTGGGCTCCTGGGGTAGGACCTGGGACTTTGCCCTGGGGTGATTCTAAAGCTAGTGATCACACAGACCTGGGTCATACCCAAGTGTGCTGACTCTAGGTGATCGCTAAGCCTCTCTGACCCTCGGTCGTCTCAGATCAGAGTGTCGCTTTTGCTGGGCTGTTTGTGGGGTCAAGTTGGGACACCATGCAGTGCCTGGACCAGAACAGATGATAAGCAACCCTTAGATCCTAAAGCCCTTTATAAACTCAGGGCAGGAAACCTTTTTTAAAAATAGAAAAGCATAGGATTTTAGACCTGGAATGATACACGGAGCTCCCGTTAGGCAGGGTCCTGGTCTGCGGGTGGCCCACAGAAAGTCTGCAGACATCTGCAATTTGGGGCTAAATGTGCTTGTGCAGAGGAGAGTTGTCAGATTCTTACGGGATATGACACTCCATAGGAGATACTCAGCCAAGCCAAACGAGGCTGTTGATTTTCAGAAGCCTGAGACCCAGAGACAGAACTGACTTGCCAGAGGATGTATTGTGTGCATATGTGTTAAGTTTCTGACATGATGGTTAAAGGAGAGGTCTGTGTGTCTGCTTGACTTGGGTGTTCTTTGCCAGCTGGCGGACAAATCCTGTCTTTTGTCCTCCATTTCTGTCACCCCAGCTGAGTTGAGGCTTCATTGGTGCTCCTCCGTCTCCTCCCTTCCCCCACGGTCTGATTACCAGAACAGCCTTCGAAATGCCTCTCTAACTCCGGCCCCCCAAGTCCAATGAGGGTGTAGAGCCAGGCACAGAGGCTTCCTTGGGGGCCCAGATGCCTTTCCGGGCTTCATTTCTAGATGTTGCCATTAGCTCTCCTACCTTGCTCTCTCTCGCTGTCTCACAGCAACCTCGGGGAGCTCCTCTTTCAGAATTCCTGTCTGTACCACTTCCTCCAGGAAGCCCTCTTTGACCTACCCCTTGAGATCATCTCACATAGTTGCAGAGACAGATCTTTCTGCCCTACCCAGAGCAGGGCCCACGGATGTGTGTTTTCCGTCCCTACCACCCCAGCCCTCAGGCCCCAGTGCAGGGTCTGGCCCTGAGTGCTTGGTGAAAGCCCCTCCCTGGACTGCTTGCTCAATGACTTGCTGTCTCCCCCCCGCCCCCAGATCAGCCGCATCGAGTACATCCACTCCAAGAACTTCATACACCGGGACGTCAAACCTGACAACTTCCTCATGGGGCTGGGGAAGAAGGGCAACCTGGTGTACATCATCGACTTCGGCCTGGCCAAGAAATACCGGGATGCCCGCACGCACCAGCACATCCCCTACCGGGAAAACAAGAACTTGACTGGCACTGCCCGCTACGCCTCCATCAACACCCACCTGGGCATCGGTGAGTGTGAGGCCCAGGAGCCCCGTGCACCCGTGGGCTTGCGGGCCAGAGCCCTGGCTTTCTGCAGCTGGATGTTTTCCCCACGTTGTTGCCACAAAGTCAGGCCTTCCCCTCCAGGAGGAGAGCTGTGACATAGCAAGCACCTTAACGTGCCCGACTTCATCCCCACAGCAGCCTGGTATAGTGGGGGGCACCGGGCTCACGAGTGCAACATGGTTGCTTTAGGTTGTGCGGCTTAGCAGGTACCAGAGTCGGATTTGACCCTGGCCCTGTCTGAGGCCACACTTGTGCTCCGTCCCCGGAGTGGGCTAGCAAGAAGGCACCAGGGTGCCTGCTGTAAAGCCGTCGAGTGAGAACGTTCCTGAGCTGGACAAACTTGGCCCAAGATTGAGTCGGGAAAGCTCGGCCCCAGGCCTTTTTCTGTAGAAGGGTTACTCTGTGTGTGTTCATGTCGGAGTTGCAGCTAGCCGGCGTGCGGGGCGGCGGAGTGAAGGGGTGGGGAGCGTGTCCTGGAGGAGGGGGCCTCTGTTGGCCAGGAGCCCCGGTGGACCCTGCCCCTCACCCTGTCCCCGACTCCGTGCAGAGCAAAGCCGCCGAGACGACCTGGAGAGTCTGGGCTACGTGCTCATGTACTTCAACCTGGGCTCCCTGCCCTGGCAGGGCCTCAAAGCAGCCACCAAGCGCCAGAAGTACGAGCGCATCAGTGAGAAGAAGATGTCGACGCCCATCGAGGTCCTCTGCAAAGGCTACCCCTGTGAGTAGCCCCGGGGGGGAGGTGGCACCTCTGAGGGGAACACGAGGCCACACGGCCCACACTGCACCGCCACTGCCCCAGAGCCTTGGTCCCGGGCTGTCCCTGCTTCGTCCCGCAAGGGCGGCATGTTAGGAAAAGCTAGTTCTTTCTCGCCCTGCGAGCCTCTGAAACTTCCACTCACCACACGTGTGGGGCCTTTCCCCCCACCAGGCAATTCTCTGTGACGCCCGTTGGGTGTCCTCTAGCTTGACTCCATTTTGATACCATCTGCCTGGAGACAGCGGCAGATCCCACCGGTTCGGGGCTCGATCCCACGAGACTGCCCCCGTCCCTGCCTCAGATGCCGGTCACAAGTCCGGCTTGCCGCCTGTGCTCTGACCGGCCGCCTGTGAGTCTGAGGTTCCCACGCCCCCCTCCCCAGCTGGGATGAATTTGCTAGAGCAGCTCATAGGATTCAGGGAAACTGACTTTGCGTACCACTTTATTAAAGGCTACGATAAAGGATGTGGATGAATAGCCCGATGAAGAGATACATAGCGTGAGGTCTGGGAAGGAAGGGCCTGAGCACAGGGGCTTCTGTCCCTATGGAGTTGGGGCGTGTCACCCTCCTCTACGGGGACGTGTTCACCAACTGGAAGCTGTCCAAACCCCATACTGTTGGGATTTTTATGGAGGCTTCCTTGTGTAGACATAAGCGAGTACTAACTCCATTTCCAGCCCCTCTCCCTTCTAGAGAAGTGTTTGGGGGTGGGGCACTGAAAATTCTAAGCTTCTAAGCATGGCTTGGTCTTGATGGTGACCAGCCCCAACCCAGCCAGGAGCCATTAGGAGTCGCCGCATGGGAACAAAAGATGCTCTTAGCGCTCTTAGCATTTAGGGATTTACAGGGGTTTCAGGAATGGCAGAGGCCAGTATACATTTGCTGTTAGCTCGCAAGGGCTCTCCCCGCCCCTGCTTTCCGGAGGAGGAGATGCCTTCTGTGTCTTCGGTCTTCTGTGTTTGGTCATGTTGGGTCACAGTTTGCCTTCTGTGGCTTTGGTCATGTTGGGAGTTCCCCACTGGGCCCTTGACTGTCCTTTGGAACTTAGGGCAGCTCTTGATCTGCCATCTGCATGCCTGGTCCCCAGAGTGATTGGCAGGAGCAGGTAGAGCAGTGGCCTGAGGCCCTGCGGTGCCCCTTACTGCGAGGGGGCACTTGCTCCTAATTCCCAGCTCTTGGGTCTAGCCGAGTCTTCAAGGCCCTGCTCACCGGCTCGCAAGGGTTTTAGCGCTGTGAGGAGGACCGTTGCTCTGCTCTGCTGTCTTCTTGTCCCCTCCTAGATTGAAAGCGTTTGGAGGGACAGCGGGTGGGCAGGACAACCCGGGCTGTGGGGGGTGGGGCCCGGGGAGCCTGGGCCTCACGGCAGCCTTTTCTGTAACCCCCACCAGCCGAGTTCTCCACATACCTCAACTTCTGCCGCTCCCTGCGGTTCGATGACAAGCCTGACTACTCGTACCTGCGTCAGCTCTTCCGTAACCTCTTCCACCGGCAGGGCTTCTCCTACGACTACGTCTTCGACTGGAACATGCTCAAATTCGTGAGTCACCTGGAGGCCAAGGCGGGCTTGGGGGACTGGACGGGGAAGGCCCCGACTCTTAAGGCCAAAGTGACCCTGTGGCGGGCGGGGCTCCCGAAAAGTGGGGGCTATGAGCTGGACAGTGCAAGCGACCTCGCTGGGCTCCCGGAGTCCCCGCGGTCCCCCCACTGCAGCCTCATCTGTGCTGACCGCGCGTGCTGCTGTGGGCAGCGGGGCCGGGGGGCCTCACCTCCCGCCAGGCCCAAGAGGACCTGGCCGGGCCTTGAGTCCCTCCTAGGTGCCCTCGGTGGCGCGTGGGTGGCGCTGGCGGGCCCCCCGGCCGTCCTGATCGTCGCCTACACCACCCTGCTCTTGTTGTTCTGCACGTCCCAGGCGGCTGCCTTCACCGTGGCCCCTCTGGCCAGCCTGGACCCATTCATTGTGGTTTCTTTCTTCCTGGTCATGGGACCCTGGGTCTTGCTAGGCGGTTGCTCTGTCTCCCTCTTTTAAGGGTCTTGGGGGGTGGGGTGGGGAGAAGCGTTCGTCAGCGGTGCCTGGAGCTCCGGAATCTGTGAAATCGTGTGTCTTGTTTCACGTCTCTTCTGGAAAAGGGGGCTTCCTCGAGCCAGGCTCAGCCCCGTGACAACGAAGCTATCACGCTGCCCTGCCCCCGCCCCTGTCCCTGTGCTGGGCCCACGTACTCACCCTCATACTGGTAAGGACCCTCCGAGGCCTGGCCTTTCCAAGATTTACCACTTGGCTGGGCGAGCACAAGAGGCTGAGCCTCTGCTGTGCTCTCTGTCCCTTCCAGGTGCCCGGCGCCCCTGGGCACCCAGGGCCCTCCAGATAGGCCCCTGGAGGAGGTGGAGGAGCTGCCCCCCCAAAACTACTGGCCTGTGGTCTGGACTCCGGGGCCCCAGTTCTGACGTCACCAGGTGTGTCTGAGCCCGTCGGGGCCAGGCCTGAGGAGGTGTCTCTTGGCCTGGTGGGGTGCAGTGGAGAGGGAGTGGTGAAGGCCCTGCCGTGAGATTCTTGGGGATGAATCGGCTGCCTGATGAACCGAGCCTGAAGGAGGGACGATGTTCACTGCCCTGGAGGGCCTGGTGGGAACGGGCACCGGGAGCGGCTTCAGCAAGACCCCGACGGTGGCCTCTGTATTGAACTTGAACTCATTAAACGCCCCTCACCTGTACCGCGCTTCCTGCTGGTGTGCCTCTCCTTTCGTGGCGGACGTCAGATGCTCAGGACCCGAGGGCTTGTTCTCCTGGACGCAGGGGTCGGCGCTGGGTACTGTTCCCTTAGGAGTTCAGCAGAGGTCAGGCGGAGAGCCACGGTCCCACGGGCCAGGGGACTCGAGGGGTGGGGGTGGGCGATGGGCAGTGGGGCACCTTGCACCCCGGACCTTCCAGGTGGGAGTGTGGCCGACGGCCAGGGGCCAGATCTCGCCAAAGGGCATTCGTTGCTCAGGGCATCTGGACACTGGGCACTCACTCATCCATGTAGAAAGTCATCCCTGGGTCGGCTTTGGGGATGGGCTTGGCCCTTCCGCTCAGTGTAGCTCCAGGAAAGGGTTTTATGTTGTCAAGGTTTGCACCATGCAATATGGTAGCCGCTGGCTACGTGTGACTAATTTTTAATTAATTAAAATTAATCAAAGCTGAACGTGTAGCTCCTCAGTCACATTTGCTACGTTTCAAGGTGTCAGGAGCCACATGTGGCTGGTCAGTGGCTATCCTATCCAACGAGGCAGACATGAACGTTTCCATCATCACAGAAAGTTCTGTGGGACAGTGCTCCTCTAGATGGCTCCTCCTAGAACCTCTTGTGGAACCGTCCAGCTGACAAGATCTCATCTCAAGCCAGGCCACGAGCACCCTCCCTGCCCATTGCTGGCACCCTGACCCCTTCCTGGGGTCCCCTTTGAGCCAGGCTCTAGAGTCAGAAGCTGAGCAGAGGTACCCACAGCCTTATTCTGCACCGATCTCTGACCTGAGGGCCTGGACTGGATCACTGGGCGCCTTTGAGCCCATCACCACCACAGTGAACTCCACCATCTCCACCTGCCTGTTGGCGGAAGCATCTGCAGACATGCAGTGGGGACCTTCTGTGTCTTTACCCCAAGGCCAGGCCTCCGGTGCCATTACCAGCACCTACCTAAGGACTGGACACCATGCTGGGCACCAAGGGCTACGGACTCCTGTGGGAAGGATCCCACCCCTGACTGAGAGCGTCTCTCCTTGAAGTGGCCACCCCGTTCAGCATCAGGGCCCCAGAATCCCTGGATCCCCGGAGCCCGGGACGTTGCCGTCAGCGCATGGAGCCACTGTGTTCCGAGGTCCAACCGGCAGGCCAGGAGGAGACTCAGTGTAGCCAAGGACAGGGGTCCGCACAACAGGGCTGGTTGCTTGTGTGACTTTGATGTTGACCTTTTGTGTTTTCTGTGGGCAAATAAAAGCCAAGAAACCTCTCCGGTGTGCAATTCTTGAGGCGTCACTGGTTGGATGGAAACGTGGAGAGTAGCTCCTCCTGTTCTGGGGTTGGCCTTGACCCGAGCCTGCTGGGGTCACCAGGGGCAGGGGCTCCAGCCCTCTGCGCACTCGCTCACCCCAGGGCTGTATACCCCTCTGAGCGGACCCCTTGGCTTTATCAGCCTCAGTTGGCCCAGGCCGGGGATGAGCTCGTCCCCGCCCGGCCCGCAGATTTCCTGAGTGGAGCTGCAGCTCTTAACACAGGCCTGCTCCGCTTCTGGCTGAGATGCTCTCTGCCGTCCTATCACCAAGTGGGAGCCCGGGGCCGGCAGGGGAGCGGGGGGTGGACTGTGGGGGTGGGGAACTGGAGTCAGGACCTAGCGCCCTGGCAGTTCCAGGCCTGCCCAGATAGGCTTGTGGGTGGGAGGGCTGGGGATGTGCGTCCCTCCGAAGTCCTCTGGGGGTGCAGAGTAGGATTGGGTGACAGAGGCTTGGATTCAGATCCTGGCCCTGCCCTGAGCTGTGTGACCCCACACAGGGTCATGAGGGCTCCTCGGGCCTTGATTCCTCACTAGGATTCAGGGATCATTCTGATCCCTTCAAGCCCCTCCTGGAATTGCTTAAAGGCAAGGGCCGCCCCCAGCCCTCATGCCCCAAAGACAGCAGGGCCTTCTTGGCCAGGTCCCCGCGAGAGACACAGGGTTGCAGGAGCCTGCACCCCATGGCCCATGAACAGGCCCCCCACTCAGCCTGCAGCTCTCTCCTCCACAGATGCGGCCCCCCTCATGCCAGCCCCCTGCCCTTCCCTGTGGACGACCCCAGGACCGACTAGGTAATGCGGCCAGGTGCCGCTCCCACGCCATGCTCCTCTCTCTGAGCCTTTCTCCTTTCCTCCTGCACTGGGGTGGCAGCGGCTGAAGGGCAGGCCCTGGGGGCTCACGGAACCCTTCCGCCCCAGCCTGCCTGTTGGGCCTCTTTTTCCTCCACAGGGCATCTAGCCCATTCTTCCTCAAGCTCCCCCTGAGCTCCTGTCTTGTCCCAGGGCCGGCAGCATCTGTGTGAGTCCCGGGGCCTCCCCCACAGCACCTGCCAGAAGTCATTGCCCGGTCCAGGGACAGGGGAAGAACAGCCTTTGACAAATCCTCTGGCTGGCGCCCTGGTTCAAACGCTGGCCTTGCCTTTAGCTAGCCTGTTCCTCTTTCTCTGGATCTCTGAACATCTGCCCTGCTTGTTTGGAAACTTGGAGGGGCTGAGGGCTCCAGAACACAGTATAGGGGTCCAGGTTGGGCGGGCCAAGGAGTGCCCTTGGACTTTCTGGGGGCATTAGCCCTCCCAGCTCTGCCTCAGCCCCATGAGATCAGGGCAGAGTGACCTCGCCCTGCTCCTCAGACCCAGCTTCCTCCTTCCTCTGGGTGGTTGTGTGGCTTTGTTTCTCTGTACTGTGTGACTGGGGGTCATCTCCAGGCCTCTCGGGCTTCCTGCCTTGTGGGGAGGAGGTCGGACCGGAGGGTCTCTGAGCTGCATCTTCCCCAGGTGCCCGCCCGGCCTCCTCCCCCACGCTCTGCGCTGCGGGAGTGCTGGGTCTCCAAGCACCGTGACCTCGCAGGCCTGACCAGGTCTCATCTCGTCCCCACAGGGCGCAGCCCGGAACCCCGAGGACGTGGACCGGGAGCGGCGAGACCACGAGCGCGAGGAGAGGATGGGACAGCTCCGGGGGTCCGCAGCCCGAGCCCTGCCCCCCGGCCCGCCCGCGGGGGCCACCGCCAACCGGCTCCGCAGTGCTGCCGAGCCTGTGGCTTCCACCCCAGCCTCCCGCATCCAGCAAGCTGGTGAGCGGAGGCCTTGCCCAGTGGGCTGGGCCCGAGGGGGGGCCGGGGACCCAGACACTGAGGGTGGCCTCCCCCCGCTCCTCCCCTCTAGGCAATACTTCTCCCAGAGCGATCTCACGAGTCGACAGAGAGAGGAAGGTGAGCATGAGGCTACACAGGGGTGCGCCTGCCAACGTCTCATCCTCCGACCTCACTGGGCGGCAAGAGGTCTCCCGGATTTCAGCCTCACAGGTGAGCCGCGCTCGCTCCAGCCCTCCCGTCCCTCACCGCTGTGCCCAAGGGCCATGGCCTGGAGGGAGTCCGGGCTGGCGCTTCTCTTCTCGCCTCTCTGGTAACCTTGGAGCAGCCCCTTTTGTTGAGCGGGGACTTGGCTTCTTTTAATCTCCGGAGGTTGGCTTAGCCCCAGGGGGCAAAGTAGAAACTGAGGCTCAGAGAAGTCGCTTGCCCCAGCAGGTGGTGGCGCTGGGATCCTGCCTTCAGGACTGGGGCCTAGTCCGGGTGGGCAGCAGGGAGCTCACGGAGGAGGGGCTCGTGGCGCCGGCCATCAGGAAGTCCCCCTCGGGGCCGGGTCAGCACAGCATGGAGGGATGGGCAGATTCTGCTGGTGGTTTGCTGGGACCACGTTTAGACTAGGAAAGTTGGGAAGGGGGAGTCTGTGGTTGCCCAGGGAAGGTGTCTTGGCAGAGGCAGGCAGGAGATCTTCTTTGGTCCTTTTGCTTGTGGTGGGTGAGCCTCAGGACGGGCCACAAGCTGGGAGTCTGGTGGCCCCGACGTGCATGTGGCCTGGAGCAGCTACTTTGCCTCTCTGGGCAATGTGCTTGTCTACGAAGCAGCTACCTCCTAGGGTCATTGAGGTCACACACAGCCCCCCTTCCCTTGGCTCCAGGGGCGGTGGGGGCGGGCGCAGAGCTCCACGGTAGGGAGAGACTTGCCAGACCGCCATCATTAGCAGCTTATCCCCTCTCCACCTCTGTGCCTCTCCTCCCAAAGACAAGCGTGCCATTTGACCATCTCGGGAAGTGAGGAAGAGCCACCATCGGACCAGTATTTGCTTAGGTGAGTCGATACTGCTGCAGACGCAGCCCAGCCAGGTCTAGAAACACTCATGCCTCCGGGAGGAGATGAGTGTATGTTGTGGAGTGGTGGGGGGGAGTAGCAGGGACCCCCTCCCACCCCAAATCAACAGCTCTTGAGAGAATTTACCTCAGAGCTACTTGACTCAGCCTAGCCCATACCAGCTAATTGCTGCTGGAAAAACCCTTCCTCTGCCCTCAGACCAGTCCTCCATCCTCCCCCGCAACCTTAAAATAGTCTGCAGAGTTAGTTCTTAGCAGAGACAGTCCCAGGGCCCACCCCCTGACCTCCCCCAGGCCTTTACTCCTGCCTCAGCCCCTGGGTTGTTACCACTTAGAATAGGGTCATGTCCTTGGGAGTTTATCAGCTGTAAGAGAAGGCCCTTGGAGGCCTTCACGAGTAGCCAGCGTGAACCTCGAAGGGACTTCCATGGCCACATGTGGGCCTGAGGTGCTGTACAGCAGGTCTCTCTTCTGGGGCCTGGCTTGGGGAAGCAGAGGTGGTAGAGGTTCTTGGGGGGTCTTTTGGGGCGGGGAGGAAATGTCTGAGCTCCCTGGGGAATAGGGCAATGTTTGAGCTCCCATGGCAGGGGGCTTCACCGGCTTGGCCTCACACCGGGACATCCTGAGCGTGAGGTGCTTTGCAGAAATTCATTCCACACATAGAGCTGGGATGTGAAACAGGGCTTGCCCTCGCCAGCTCTCAGGTCCGGGAACCAGTCCTTCTGTGGCAGGGTGGGGCGGACGTGTGGCTGCTCACCGAGAGGACAGGAAGGAGAGAGATTTTGTTCTTCCCCTGAAAATGGAGCACCCACTATGTCCCCGGAGAGGGACCAGCTCAAAGCCTCCGGACAGGAGCATGAGGACTGCAGGTGGTCTGGCAGATGGGTGGCCAGAGGCAGACATGCACCTGATCTGTGTTCTCTCCCCCTTCTAGTGTCTTCACTGTATTGTCTTTTAAAAAACAACAACAAAAAGATGGGGAAAAAAACCACTCAAAAGAACAAAAAGAAAAAAACCCAGCATAAAACCGACGATGGATTTTCTTTTCTTTTTTTTCTTTCTTTTTCTTTTTTTTCTTCTTCTTCTTCTTTTTTTTTTTTTTTTTTTTGCCAATGGCAAGAAGATGGGATGCCTTCAGCACAGAGGATTCTTGTCCCTATGCGTTTCCCACTGTCCACAACCTTCAGGCTGCCAAATGCTCGCCAGACGCCACGGCCCCGCCCCAGCCCACACAGGCACCGGCCGGGAGGGGCTGTCCCTGTGTTGGAGACGCCCCTGGTCCTCACGTGCCATCAAGAGGTGGCCTGAGGAGCCGGGGGAATGGTGTGGTTGGTCGGGGGCAGATCCCACTGGGTGCTCTTGAGCCGCAGGACCCCAGGAGACAGGCACAGCCCCTATTGCCCCGAAATGACTGTGGCCGAATTTCTGTGTTGGGCTTTTTCCAGTGTCCCCTGAACGTCTGGGTCTCTTCTTTGCCTCTCCAAGAAGACTTTGAGGAATGGGTGGCGAGGTGGTGGGGGCTGAGATTCCTTGTGTGCGTGTGTGTCTGTATGTGTAGCTCCCAGGACAGCAGGTGCCTCGCCCCACCTGCCAGGCGGACTTTGGGTTCTCATCCTTCTAATAACAAGGACACGGATAGGCAGTGACTTCCATGGCCCTCCAGAAGAGCACAGAGGGTCCTTGCCACTACCAACCCCTGAGACTGTCAGCAGCCTGTGGCAGCCCCATCCCCTTTCCCTGGTCTTAGGGCAGAATCCGTGGAGACTACTTCCAGAAAGCATCCGGCTCCTGGGTTATAAATTAATTCTCCAGTCCTGACATTCACCTGGCACCCCACTCTCCCTGTGTTCTGCCTCTCTCTCTCTCTCTCTCTCTCTCTCTCTCTCTCTCTCGGAGGAGCCTGGGGTCAGGTCTGGGCACTGGATTTATCCACCCCTCCTAGTTAACACCCAGTTTTACTTTATTTTTGTTTGTTTTCTCTGTGTGTGTATTTCCTAATTTATTTACCTCTTTTTCCCCTTTTTTTCTTTTTCTTTTTCTTTTTTTAATTAAAGAGCAAAGCTTTTTATTACTTTGTAATTTAAAAAACTGAAAAAAAAATACTGAAGAACTTTGGGGGGAATTTTGTACTTTTTTCCTGTGTAAATATTGGACTTTTTTGAGCTTTATTGTGGTTGTTAATTTGAAGTAATAAAGTAGCAAAGGATAAAGTGACATGGGCAGCCTTTGATCCACCTCTTTGCTGGGTGGGGGGGTTCTCCCCAGCAGCCCTGGGAGTCGGGGTCGGGGGGTGACTCGGCCAGTAATTGGTGCCTCCCTGGGGTTATTTTAAACCAGTATTTCAAAAACTGCAGACACTCCAGCTGGGACCTCATTCAAGTGCAGATTCAGCCACAGGAGGATTGGTGTCCATCCTCACAAGGTCCAGGGGATGCCGCTCGCCCAGGACCACACTGCATAGAGAGGTTCCAAGCCCTCTTCACAACAGGATCTTACACAAGAATTCTGAGTTCGGTCCTATTAATCTCCCTGCCTTCAGATGGGGAAACTGTGTACAAGTAAAGTGACTTGCCCAAGGTCATACAGCTAACTCTCTGGCAGCAGAACCAGGATTCAAACCCCACCACTGACCAGGGAGCCCTGTGAGTGAGGGTCCTGGAGTCGAGTTCCGGCTGTGCCACCAGGGACCGTGGGTGCTTCCTTCTGCCCAGCCTTGATAAAGGAGCAGCCCTCAGCCTTGCCTGCCTTTGTCTCGCCAACTTAAAGAAGAATTTGTCTATCAGTTTACCTTCATCCAACACAGTTTACTTTTCAACGTCTCATTAACTCAAGAGCCCCTGTTTGCCACAATCAGCCCGCAAGACAAGAGCAAAGCCACCTGACTCATCAGTCAGCCTGGAGAGAGGGCCAGGGCTCTGAGAGGTTCTCTGAGGCGCATTTTGAAGTCCTGGGCGTAGCCCAAACCCCCAGAATGAAGATCCCTTCTGTGCTGGCATTTGAACCCTGCGACCCCATAGCCTGGCTCGGGCCTGGGGAAGGGTCTCCTGCTGGCCCTCCACCTAAGGTTTAGGCAAAACTGGGTCCTTATTCACAACCCTCACAGATGGGGGTGGGTTGTTACTCAAAGCCAAGGAATATACCAGAAGGCCTGAAGGTATAGGCAGCACACCAGAGCCAACCACAGGAAAGCCTGTCTGGGAGTCAGTGACCACCCCCCACCCCCGCTCTCCCCGCCCTCCCCTCAGCACCCTTTAGGCAACATACCTGACATCAAACAGTAAGTGTGGCATTACCAATGACAGGCCCCCAAGGGAAAATACAAGGGGAGCGAATCTTTTTTGAAAATCTTTATATATAATAATCTTTTGCAGCAAAGATCTTAGTACCTAGTAACCCTAATGTGTTGTTTGCTGTAGTAAAATTCCAATTGTAGTATTACCACTAAATGTATACCTATGGAGTAAAGAGGTGTTTTTACAGTTTGGGGGGGAGTTTTATTGTCCTTGGAATGTACCTCACTAAGGGTACGCTGTCAGAGGACCGTGCCCAGAAGTAACTTGAAATTATTCTTTTCTCTGTGTGGTTACTGTATTGATTTTAATAATGAGTTAGTGCTCTCCCCTCCCCCCCAGCCCCTTGTTTTCATTTTAGTTTTTGGAGATGTTACATACATGAGAGTCAAGCTATATAAATAGTTACAATCAGAGAATCACTCCTGTTCCTGGCCCCTCCCCGGCCCCTCCTACCCATGATCCTCGCTGGTTTCTGGTTCATTCTTCCTGTTTCTTATCTGGCGAGCTAACGTATATGGGAGTGGGTGGTGGCTGACAGTCTCTGAAGAAGTGACATTTAGTGAGGCCAGAAGTGACCGGGATGTGTCAACCATGCAAACAGTTTATTTTTATTAAGTATGCCAAATAATCGCCCAGAAATTTTGCCCAGACTGGAGGGGGCAAACATGCCACTTGGTGAATCATTTTCATTCATGCAACAAACAAACAGTGACTGGGCTAGTGTGGGTGCCAGGGATGCCAGGTGCTGGGCCGAGGCAGAGTGGAGTGCAGGGGTGAGGGTAGGGGGGCCAGGGCTGGAGTCCAGAGGGCCAGCTTGGCTCCTCTGTGACCTTGGGTGTTGTCTGGGTCCTGGTTTTCTCCTCTGTAAAATGGGGGTGATAATACCTGCTTCAGAGGGTGGTGGGATTAAATAAGACCACAGAACAATGTATGTAAGGGCTAAGGTCATTGAGGGCTCTCCATGTCACACCTTGATCCCAACCCTTTGCTCAGAACAATCCTATGAGGTTGGTATATAGTGATGCCCGTTTTATAGATGAGGACACTGAGGCATGGAGAAACCTGCCTGGCTTCATGGCCAATGTCTTTAACCTTCACTATAGCCAGATGCTTTGTAAATGCTCAGTAACAGTAACTATACATTTCAAACATGAGGTGTGACCTTGGCATCCAGGGGCTCACAGCCTAGGCAGGGGAAAGAGACAGACTAGCAAATGGCTCATCCCAATCCAGAATCCGGTGTGAGATGTTCAGTGTGAACTAGAAAAAACGGAGGGAGGGAATATGTCTGGTGTCATCAAGGAAGGTGTCTGAAAGATATTTGACCAGAGCCTTGAAATGTGAGTAGCAGTTTGCCGGGGAACAAAGTGGGGGAAAGTCATCCCCAGCCAAGGAAATAGCATGTGCAAAGGTGCACAGGTATGAACTAGCTTGAACTAAGAGAATTCCAAGCACAAAGAGAGGGGGAGGGAGAAGATCCACAGCAGCGGACACTGGAGGAGGCAGAGGTGATTCTGGAGAAGTGAGGATGCAGAAGGCTGTTCTTACCTGAAGCAGCTCATTCGGTTTTTGGTTTTTGTTTTTTTGTTTTTTAAGATTTTATTTATTTGAGAAAGAGAGCACAAGCTGGGGGAGTGGCAGAGGGAGAGGGAGAAGCAGGCTCCCCGCTGAGCGGGGAGCCTGATGTGGGGCTCAATCCCAGGACCCTGAGATCATGACCTGAGCCGAAGGCAGACACCTAACCGACTGAGCCACCGAGGCACCCCAGCAGCTCATTCTTCTTGAGCCCTGGTTTTCTCATCTGTAAAATGCGAATCATCATGCTATACAGAACCCGTAATTCCCCACTAGCTTGACCACTTCAGTGTCTACTCACCTGCCTGACTTCCATCTGCCAACACCTGCAATGTGCCAAACGACTGATTAGGGGAGAGGGCCCAATGGATGTGAACTTGAGGAATGTGAATCTGGCAACAGCGGGCAGGGAGACTGGAAGATGGAGAAAGGAGGCAGGGAGAAGGGTTAGGGAGTGGGGGGTCACAACCCAGGCAGGAGGCTTCCAGAAGGCAAAGATGTCTGAACCGCTTCAGAACACGGTCTGTTCTGAGCCCGCTGAGAGAGAGAGAGAGAGGAGTCGTGGAGGCTCTGAGTTACAGGCCTGGGCACCTGGGAGGCCAGCGGGGGGAGGGGCAGGGCTGGGGCGGGGCATCAGGAAGGAGGGTGTGGTCAGCGGACTCAAAAAGAGCAGTGGCAGGGGTGAGGCTGCCAAAAAAAAGAGGTTCTGGCTGACCATTGCGCCCTAGTTCCTTTTTTAAAAAATTGGAATATAGTTTAGAAAAATGCGCATATATTAAGGGTACAGCTCCATCACTCTTCACCCATTTCTATTCACCTGTGTAATCACCTGATGAAGAGGGAGGCAACAACTGGCGGTACTCCAGCAAGCTCCCTCAGGCCCCTTCCCAGTCCGTATTCCCCCACGCCCTCGCATACACAGGACACCACTCTTCTAGGTTCTCTCAGCAGGTGACCTGACTCTGGGGGACGAGAGTCGGAGCAGGGGGTGGGAGGAGGGAGTGTCCACAGGAGCCCGACAGGAAGAGGAAGGCCTGGGCCTGGCACCTACTTGGGTGGGCAGGTGGGAGGAAGTGGTTTTGAGGGTCGAAGAGGCGTGCAAGTATTGGAGGCCAAAGAACCCTTGAGGAGGGGGACCGGTGAGTGGCCGCAGCAGGTTGGGGGGAGTGGGGAGGGGAGGGGACACCGGGAGAACCTGGCCTGG